AGTCATACCACTGGTGATTCCCACGGTCTTTTCCACCTTGGTCTGACGTGGATGTCGACCTATCTCAACTCCCTCAGGCATCGTCTCGACTCTCAATTCAATCTCAAAGAAGGCGAGGTACAATGGCACCATGACTTGCGCTGGTGCTGTTCTGTCAAATATGGCTTGTGATGACCGAGCTCGAATGAGAACGCTCTTGGAGTTTATTCGTCTTAAAAGAGCGAAGGAGTCTGTCCAAAATTTGGTGCTCCTCGGTGACAGTGCACTGCCCGATACGACACACAGCTTCGATGTCTGCGAGAAACGACATGTCCAATACTTCTTCGTCTACTTTGGACGAAAGCAAGACCCGTGAATTGCATCCTGTGACATTGGATATCCTCGAAGCTCAGAGAGCAGGACCTGATGCAATAAATTCCGAAGACGAAGGTTTTCGCAGCTGGCTCACTGTTTTCGGGGCGTAGGTGATGTTTAATTGGTGTCGTCTCTCACTTTGATTCCTATGACTTCAGTTTCCTCGTTCAAGCCACCACGATTGGGTAGCGGGTTTGAACAAGTTTTGTGAAAGCTATGACTGATTTGTGTCTCATAGGCATACGGGAGCATACGGCGTTTACGAAGCATTCTACAAAGAACACTACCTCAGTAACTCGTCCAGCTCCGCTATCAGGTGTGAATTCCCTACTGTACGGTTTTCGTTCCCGCTGGAACTGAGATGATACCGAAGTTGGGTGGGAAGCACCCAGTATTCGCTTGTGTTTGCTTTAGGCTTGGTTGGCGGCCTCCTTTTCGATAGAGGAAAATTGTAAGCCCTCAATTCCGTTCTTCTTCCTGCCGTCTCTCATATAAAACATCATTTGTCAGTCGATCCACATTTCTTTTCTCCGTCGCGCTCTATATCTTCTCCAATTTTATGCTATCTCTAGCACGTCCACAACATTTCTACCAAGTGCCATATTCGCTTCGGAATATTCATGAAAGCTAACCCTGAGCTACAGATATTCCTCTCTCAAGGCCTTGGCATGGGAGTTGCAATGGGTCTTCTGTACTCCCCGACATTCATGATCGTGGGAGCTCATTTCCATCGTCGCCGAACTTTGGCTATGGGCATTCTGACATGCGGTGCTGCCTTCGGAGGAATCATACAACCAATCATTCTCAACCAGCTCTTCAGTTCATCCTTGAGTTTCGGGAATAGTATCCGATGTGATGCCGCTATAAATGCTGTGATGCTCATCATCGCTTGTCTCTCCATCACCATAAAGAAACCGAAACTACCTCAGGCTGACGAAACAAGGAAAACAATCCACATTTTCGGGATTCTACGGCAACGAGATTATCTACTCGGCTTGATTGCGTAAGATTCACAAGCTCAACATGCTTCACAGATTCAACACCTATTTATAGGGGGAATTTCATATGCTTTCCTTTGTTCTTCCCCGGTCCGGTTGCTCGCTCTTTCGGCTTTGTTTTATCTGATAGTATTGCTGCCCAATAGCCGTCTATATCCAACTTTACTCAGTAACCAAAGGGCTTCCCGCCACGTTCTCTTTTTATTCGGTGGGGTTTCAATTATGATAGACCACTTTGGCATGTGGCTTAGTCATCAATGAACTACAGCTGACCATTCTGAACGCATCGAGTATACTTGGTCGTGTCATTTTCAGCATTCTCGCAGCTCGGTACGGCAACATCGAGACAGTAGTCCTTACTGTCTTCGGGTTGGGGGCAACTCTCTTCGGACTCCTGGGCGTCAGTAGCGTAGCATCCGAGGTCGTCGTCATCTTCATACTCGGTCTCTTCCTAGGCGGCGGTAGGAATTTAAGTGTACGATCCCTTGTAAACTGTCGCTGATGTTCATCAGTTTCCGCTCTCCAGCCATCCGTCTATGCAAATACGGCAAAATCTCAACCTCACGAACTTGGGTGAGTCCGCGTAGTGAACCCGCTCACAATAGTTGGATGACCTTGCTTTTCCTATCACAGGGCTCGGTTGGGGATTCCTAGTCTGGCCGCAAGTACAGAATTGACTTATCCCTCTTTTCATGCGTTCTGATATGATAACGAATAGCCATTCCTTGTTTAATAGGTCATCAGCCTGTCTCCTAGCCTGACGCGACGACACTCATTTAAATCATCGTTTGACAGGGCCCCCCATCGACGGTGCTTTTCTAACGGATAAGTTCCAGTGGTGGAGACCCATCGTATTCGTTGGCGTACGTCACCTTTACTCTGTTTGAATTGTTGAAGAATTCACATTCTTGTTCCTATCGCAAATACTAGATACTCACCATGTTAGGGGGTGCTCTTTATCTGTCAATATTGTTATGGCCCGTCAAAGGCAATTCAGGCGCGGTCACCGCCACCGTGACCTGCCCCAGTGACGGTGGAAGCCTCGAAGAAAAGGAGGATGGAGATGGTCAGCCCGGAAACCCATGATAACGCCTGAGCCTTGATTTAAAGGCCAGATGTAGCATAGAGCAGTGTATTCGGGACAGGAAATATGTCGCATGAAATCGAAATACAAATTATGCTCAGCACATCCGTGAATTCTCAGTCTAGATGAACTGTCATCGCGTCCAATATATGTACGCGTCTCATTTTGATTCATAATCACGAGTATGTCATCCGAGTACTTGATCCAGTCCCTGTACAGCTGTTTCACCTCCGGGCTTCTCGGCCGACTAAAAGTCGTGCTGCAAGATAGCAACAAGCACCCGTCAGCGAACAGATCTATGACGCGGTATGATCAGTCTTATTCAGATGAGGGATATCAAGATTGCGCACCCCCGAGAATAAAATGGGCGCGGTCCAATGAAAGTTACTTCCTAATAGAGCTCCACTTATCGGCGGTGCTGTGAGCATGTCTCGCGTGAATTGGCTGCGATGAATGTGAAGGAGAGGATGATAGTACCCGCTAGATAGGATATGGCTATTAAAGGTTAATCAGATGAGTAGGCGTTCGCAGAACGAATCGGACAAATCGTACCGACGAAGGATGTGGAGATCCCGACCCGCGCTCTGGACTCGGTGTATCAGCCAAAGCCATCCAAGATCGAACCGCATCTGCTCACCCCACTTCCGAGCTATTCTTTGCAAGACTTGCCAGAACCGGTGTACAAAGTGACATGACTATATTTGGAGGGAATGTGAGACAATGTCGAAAATGAGGACGTTCACTCACAATTTCCGGCGAAAAATCCGTAAATGGCTCCCACCACAGCGACGCCGGCTACGCTGTTCACACCGAGAAAAGCCAATATCGTGATACTGAGTAGAAAGTTGCCTGGGAGAATTAGGTTGAAAGCGCCGTAGGATCCGAAGCGGTCAGCGATCAAATTCGGGGCTACTCGGCCAAGGAGCGTGCCGCCGTTCACTATTGACAGCTGCGGAGGTTGCGTCAATCTCAATATTTTGATCACGCGAGATGTTAGACTGACTGAATAAAAGGAAAACGTCGGCGGGAGGCCTTTTGTTATGGAAAGAAGCTGAATGTAGACCACTGTTGGTAGAATGCCTGGCGTAAGTAACGTAGTCCTACATCCGAATGATACGTACTAGGAAATGCGAGTCCTATCTCGATGAGTACGCCGCTGTCATCAATTGTTAGGGTCCCTCAAAGATAGTACTTTTATGCGACTCAACCCAATGGTGACGAGTGCGTAAGGAAGCTCCTTCAAAAACGGGATGATCATGCTCAGATTTTTCCTCCTCTCGCCTTCAACTACAACCTTATTTCTCGGAACGCTCATTAAGAAATTAGAGAGAATCATCAGACCACCGTTCATCCCGGCGCTGATCAAGATCGTGTTCCGAAATCCCAGAGAGGAGTTGAGGAAGTTGTTGATCATAATTGTCTGGACGAGACCGCTAAGGCCTGAGCCGGCTGATACCAGGCCCATTGCAAGAACACGATGAGAAACGAAGTGAGATGCTGCTACGGCGAAAGTAGGGCCCCAAGTCAAGCCAGCTGAAAGACCGAGGCCCAAGCCTTGAGTCAAAAATATCTGGAAGACCGACTGGTCAAACTTCAAATCTGGCGACATGCAAAAAGTGGGATGAACCTGGTAGTATTGGTTTTCCTTCGCCAATGCGAGAGTGAAGCTCGATAGAAGATATATCAGGGTTGACAGAAACAACATCTGTCGGCTGATCGATCAAGAATCAGTTGTGCTATTTTGCATCTGTTCAAGGAAATAATCACAAGTAGCCTTTATCCAGTAGAGGGCCCGCGATTATACCCAATCCGAATAGCAGTGACCATTGCGCACTACCGATCCAACTGCAGTCATCAGCGTTAGTCCCGTACCTTCGGTCAAAATGAGCTAGATCACCTGATATTCGAACTCGATTCGTTTATCAAATAATGTCTCTTGTAAAAATCTTCGTAGACGCCGAACGTGTTGAACGTCCTTCGGAGAATCAGATTAAATCGCACGCCTCTCAAAGCCGGACATTGCGAATTCTTTACCCTATCCCGGCGAATTGAACCAAGAACCTTTGATTGTTGAGTCAGTCCAGATTTGAGTCGTTGAAAGCCCCGAGCCGAGGTAAACCTCGGATGTCAAGCTCACCCTCCTAGTACGGTCATCCAGGCACGAGCGCAGGTATCGGTGTACCTTGCAAGGCTTGCATTGATCGTTACTTCAGCTTTTTCATCGAACACCTCAGACGTCCGATCATCGCTGGGTGACTCGTCAGTACCCATCCCCTGTCGTTGGCGAGGAGACGAGAGAGATTATGATAGGAGTGGATATCATATATGAGCCACATTCGGGAGTCATACGGGTGTAAGCGGTCAGCAAGACGTGATCGATGATCATGAGGTGCATCCGTTTTGCAATATGAGTGTCTGGAGAGGGAATTCCGAAGCTCGGCAATCATTGAATCAATGACACAAGGCCCGCAGCAAAATTTTGCAGGGGTAAAACGTGGCTCTGGGTGAATGTCGTAAAGACCTGTCGGAATACAAGGCCGGAGACGTGGAACAGTAAAAAGAAATGGACGATGGGCGATTCGAACGCCCGGCTTCATGCAGCGTCTGATTACGTAATCACGTTACGTAAGTAAATGCGAAGCAAGCACTCTACCAACTGAGTTAAACGCCCAACTGCAGACCTCGGCTGACACAACGTATAACCGTCCACTTCAAATCTTGTGTCCCAGATGAGTTTCTTCAGCTTCTACCCGCGATGAGATGGACGACGACCTTGAGCCAACGAGCAGCTTGTCTTCCGACCCACGAAATCCTGTCATTTGCGATGGTCCTACCACAGACTACACTGTCGACGAAGAAGATGAAGAAGTGCCTGATTGGACCAAATTCGCGAGCATTGCAGGAATAACTCCATCATCACCAGCAGCGTCGAGCCTCAACATCAGCTCTGCAGCGCAGACTGCAGGAGGGAGATCAAAAGCTAAGGTTAGCGCGTCTGCTGTGATACCCAAGCGTGGCGAGAAGGACTTCGAGCCCAAGACGAAGCCTTCGAATCCATCGGACGATGCTGAGGAGTCTCGAAGTCGCTCTGGTCCGTCTACTGGCAGTGGATTACAAACTCATGCGCTTGAGAGGGCCAGAAGAGCGATGTTCAGTGCGCTGAGTGGGACGAGAGGTACATCGAGGTATGAAGTTCATGCCCAGCATACAATTTTGCTTTGGGCTCACGCCTTTTTGTTAGCAAAAACATCAGTTATGGCATCTGGCATCCACATCTCAACAGAGTGGAAGTTATTCAAGCTAAAGGCATACTATGGAACGCAATGGGTCACTCAGCACCAATTCGCACTTGCCTTTGCACGGAGGAATATTTGTTGGACGACCTGAAAGCCTCAACGACCGCGGTCAGGGAAGAGTCCAGAGGGAAAAAGAAGACAGAACTACTCCCTGAGGAAGCATTGTATCTGATCGAGCGAGGGTCGATGATTTGTTTCAAACATTCCCCTTCTCCGAGCCTTCATCTCGCTCCATCTGCTTCCACACCGACGTTGATGCCATTTTCCATCTCGTCATTACCGTCAGCCGATGCACCTCCTTTGATCAGTTCGGCATCATCATCTTTTTCTTTTGATCCTCTGGGGAACGAACCGCCTGGTGCTCCGATGACGGTTCAACACGCATGGGGCGAGATGATAGGGAGCGAATCTCTAACACTCGAGAAATATCAGGTATGCTCGTGATTCTTAGCGATATCACAGCCTGTAATCTCTTAACTAATCCATGTCGAATTGACAGGTGTATTCGTATCTGAGACGGCTCGGCTACGTGGTCACAAGACATCGTAAGCCTTCCAGCTCCCCTTGGTACCCTATTCCTGAGATCGGCGATGCACAATCGACCGCGAAAGCAGCACCAGCCTCTTCTCGTGGTCTCCAAGCTTCAGTAGCGACGTTGGTCAGCTCTCCTTTCAGATGGCTGTGGGGATTGATGGAGAGGATGTGGTACGATCCTTGGCACCCTCTGCGAGGGAAATGGAGATGGATACATTCTTATCGTGCGTCTTTCGAATATCATATTCCTTCACTAAGCTAACCGAGCCTGTCTAGCTTCTCTTTTCACATCCTTGCGCGCACTGCCATCCGCCTCCTCACGCCCACTCACGTCATCTCCCATCCCTCCTTCCGCATCTGCATCCACAAAATTCACCAGCGTCTCTAAAACGACACAAGGCTCGAATCGACCTTCACCTCCACCAGCACCCACAGTATCGTCACCCTACGAGATCTTCTACAATCTCTACAAGCCCTCAACGCCCTTCCGTAAATCCTCTCCACCACCTCCAGATTTCTACCTCGTCGTCGTCGAGTAAGCCTCCTCCCTGCCTCCCTTACTTCCATTATTCAACTGACTAACGCATCTTTAGCGCCCGAACTACATCCATACCATCCCTTTTCGATCTCGAAAGATTATGGTCCCAAATCCCAGAGACTCGTCTTCAAGCTTCATTATCAAGGAAAATGATGGCTGCTAGAAGGGAAGAAGCGAGGAAGGAGAAAGTTGCGATGAGACAACGACAATCAACTGCTATGAAGAAAGGTGTTGCGAAAGCAGACGACGAGAAAGCCCAATTCGACGGAGAAGATAGGGATAATGAAGGAGGACGGAGCGGACTACTGGCATGGCTCCGGTCGGTCTTCGTCCGAGGACGAAAGAGCCAAGAAGAGTCGAAAGAAAAGACGAAAGATGTAGAGGATGCTCTGCAGCCCCGTCCTCCACATCCCTTCGCGGTGCTCAAAGCAGGTCGAAAACTCGTCGTCATCGCCGTCGTAGACAGTGGAAACATTGGTTTCTACAGGTTCTCCGAAGGGGTGTTCGATGAGATGCCGATGATGTAGCTTTGACCTCTGTTTGATAAGTGTCTCGCACGCAGTATCTTTATGACAATTAATAATATTGTTCATTTAATCGAAGATAAGCGAAGATGGAGAGTCCATTCATTTTCGACGTATACAGAATGGGATCTAATTGCACAGAACTGGTATTACAGCAGACGAGAGCGCGCGAGAATCGTAATGAGAAATGAGAAGTGAAAAGAGAAAATGAGTCAAGACGAGAGTTCAAATGGATACAGTACTTCCTCCCACCATTACACAACCACCACCCCACGACGACGGAGAGGATTCTATGCTGAGCACATCAAGCAAGCCTCCTTGTTCTCTATACTGCACATCAGCTTCTCATTCTCCAACTCCCTCTCCTTCTGTCTTCTCTTTGCCTCTTCGAACTCGAGCTTGTCCTGCTCTTCCTGAGACAGCTCCTTGCCATCTGCGACAGCGGTGACAGCAGGTGCCGGTATCGGAACAGGGTCAGCGAGCTCAGAAGGAGGCGTCGAAGGTGCTGCGGAAGTCTCGCGTGATAGCGATAATGAACCACCGGATTCGGAAGTGGGAGTAGGTAACGAGGAGAGCGACGCGAGCGAGGTCGAAGTCGCGATACTGAGGTTAGACGGCAGTGATGAAGGAGGTGTAGGAGGGATAGTAGGCTCGACCGACTCCTCTTTGACCTTGACAGGTGTGGCAGGTTCAACTGTCACACTAGAGACGGAGCGAGCGAAGGGAGAACGAGGAATGGCAGCTTCGATGGGCTCGGCTTTGATAGCCTTCACCGGCGTAGTAGGAGCAACTTTGACAGTGGCGATAGTAGGAGTATCGTCTTTCGCCTTCGCAGCGATCTTAGCATCCTGCTTCGCTTCCTTCTCCTTCTGCGCCAAAGCAGCCTTCTTCGCCTTCTCCTTAGCGAGAACACTCTGATCCACAGTGAACTGAATAGCAGCCGCAGCCGGTCTTGTCCTCAAGTAATACATGCCGGTCTTCAAGCCCTTCTTCCAGCCGTAGAAGTGCATACTGGTCAACTGTCCCTTCGTAGGAGCAGCGAGATGGACGTTGAGCGATTGACTCTGACAGATGTAGGCACCACGATCAGCAGCCATCTCGAGGATCTTCTTCTGAGAGATCTCCCAGACGGTCTTGTAGATGGCCTTCGTCTTCGCAGGGATCTCTTCAATGGCTTGGATAGAGCCGCCGTTGGCGATGATGCGTTGCTTCATCTCGTCGTCCCAAAGCTTGAGATCGACGAGTTCGCGGAGAAGCCAGGGGCAGACGACTTGGAATTCGCCAGCGAGGACACGACGGGTGTAGATGTTCCTATAGATATGTTCAGACGACTTCCCCGGAACAAAGAAGAAGGAACATACGAAGTATAAGGTTCGAAGCACTCATTGAACCCAAGAATCTGACTCGTACTCGCCGTAGGCATAGGAGCGACAAGCAACGAATTCCTCAATCCACCCTCTTCAACGATCTTCCTCTTCAACTCGCTCCACTCCCAAAGATCCGTAGGCTTCTGTCCCCAAAGATCAAACTGCAACAATCCCTTCGACGCAGGCGACCCAGGGAAGGTCTCGTAATGACCCTCCTTGACGGCGAGCTCGTGCGAAGCTTCGAGAGCGGCATGATATATGGTTTCGAAGATCTGGATGTTGAGTTCCTTCGCTTCCTGCGACTCGAAAGGCATGCGGAGGATCATGAAGGTATCAGCGAGACCGTTGACACCGAGACCGATAGGTCGATGACGCATGTTCGAACGACGAGCTTCAGGGACAGGGTAGTAGTTGATATCGATGATCTTGTTCAAGTTGTTCGCAACGACTTTGGCAACATCGTGCAACTTCTGGAAGTCGTACGATTTCTTGTCGGCGGAGACGAATGAAGGAAGAGCGAGGGATGCGAGATTGCAGACGGCGACTTCGTCAGGAGCGGAGTACTCGATGATTTCGGTACAGAGATTGGAAGACTTGATCGTTCCGAGATTCTGCTGATTCGACTTGGCGTTGGCAGCGTCCTTGTAAAGCATAAATGGTCCTCCAGTCTCGATCTGCGCTTCGAGGATCGCAGCCCAGAGCTTCTGAGCCTTGATGGTCTCGCGTCCGCGCTTCTCGGACTCGTACTTCATATACAGTGCTTCGAACTCAGCACTGTGAACATCGGCCATGCCGGGAGCTTCGTTGGGACAGAAGAGAGTCCAGTCGCCGTTCTCTTCGACACGCTTCATGCTATAGACATCGTCAACATCGTCACAATCGCGCACGGGTAGGGAACACGTACAATAAGTCGGGAATCCAGAGAGCATAGAACAGATCTCTAGCTCTCGCTTCTTCCTTGCCGTGATTCTTGCGCAGATCCAAGAAGCTGAAGATATCGGCGTGCCAAGGCTCGATGTAGATGGCGAAGGCACCAGGACGCTTGTTGCCACCCTGATCGACGTAACGCGCTGTTGCGTCGTAAGCGCGAAGCATGGGAACGATGCCGTTCGAGTACCCGTTGGTGCCGGCAATGTATGAACTACAATCAAAGCCCATTAGCTGAGTATATGTATAAGTTCACGGAAATGACGTACCCAGTAGCGCGGATGTTGTGGATGTTCAAGCCAATGCCACCAGCGGTCTTTGAGATCATCGCACAAGTCTTGAGCGTATCGTAGATACCCTCGATCGAGTCATCCTTCATCGCCACCAAGAAGCAGCTGCTTAGTTGGGGATTGGGGAGACCGGCATTGAATAGGGTGGGTGAGGCGTGGGTGAAGTATCGTTCAGACATGAGATGGTACGTCTCG